GTTTTTCCACGCAAATTTCCAGTCATAACATTGTCAGAATTATGTTCTTGATAATTATTCTTTCATGTTCTTTAATGAATTTGCATCTTATCTTATCTAATTTTTTTTTATAATCTTATATCTCTTTCCTTGGACTCCATTTTAGAACTTATAAATTATTGAAAATTGTGTCTCCGTGACCAATGAGTCATCTAATATAGATCAATGAAGGAGATGGTGCATTTTATGGACCGAAGATAGATATTAGCGTATCCGATGCATTGAAAAGAAAGTTTCAATGTGCAACCCTTCAGGTATTATACACTTATTTTCAAGTTTCTTTCTCGCATTGTTGCTAGGGCTCTAATGCAAACAAAAATATTTTACAACATGGGCGTATTTATTTGCAGTTGGACTTCCAGCTTCCTTCTCGCTTTGATTTATATTACTCAGCAGAGGATGAGGCCAAAAGGGAACGTCCTGTTATGATTCATAGAGCAGTCTTGGGGTCCGTTGAGAGAATGTTTGCTATATTGTTGGAGCACTACAAAGGGAAGTGGCCCTTTTGGCTTAGTCCGCGTCAAGCAATTGTTTGCCCTGTGTCAGAGAAATCTCAATCCTATGCACTGAAGGTAGCACTTAAATATTATTTGTTTGATTCCTTTACAATACCAAATCTGTTTTTCTAAGTCTCACTTTCAAAGTTCAAGTATTCAAATTTTTCGGCCTAAAGATCATTGGACCACTTAAAATAATTTTCTTTTCATTAAATGTAAATGTAGAGAACCCCTTACGAATGCTGGTTGTAATACAATACATAGGAATTGTCTACATGACCTGTCTGGCTGTTACGTTTTATAGATCACAATACCATTTTGTTGTATTAACTTTTATAGGTGCGCGATGCAATTCATCATGCTGGTTATTATGTTGATGTGGATACAACAGACCGAAAGATTCAGAAGAAGGTGCGTCCAATTTACTTTTGTCTTTATTATTCATGTTTATGCTTTTGTGCCTTTTTGAAATGAATATTTCTTACTTTCCTCGTTCTTAGTCATGGTCTATGATGTTGACTGAAAACATTGTATGAATGAGTTCTCAATTTAATAATTGGTTAAAATTGACAAATTCTTGCGATACCTGCTTGAGATATGATTATCTTGGTTTCTTCAGGTGCGAGAAGCACAACTGGCTCAGTATAACTACATATTAGTCGTTGGCGAGGAGGAGGCTAACACTGAACAGGTTTCAATGCTTACAATGACAATAGTATTTGTTCGGTTGCTTGTTTGTGTCGTTTAAAAAATAAAATTTAAATTGAAGGGTCCTACACACTTTTCCTAGATAGACTCTGGATATGTTCTCTTCATTTGCCAAATATTAGCCTGAATTTTTGTTATCTAGTTTAGTTGAATGTGGTATCAAGCCGTGAGTTGTTGTGTTGTGGCAGGTGAGTGTACGGGTGAGAGATAAGGGCGACCATTCAGTGATGAATATTGAGAACCTGCTCAAACACTTTAAGGAAGAAGTTGCAGCTTTCCATTAGAGACTTGGCCTTCGAAAATAAAAATAAGGTTGGAATGCCTCTCATCTTCATTTACAACTCGATTGTTGGTTGGCTCCCCCTCATTACCAAAAATAAATCACCCTTTGTCTTAGATTTTCTTTACTCAGTTTCAATTGTGTGATACATCTGTACATAAAATATGCCTTTAAACTTGTCGTCCAATCAAATTCAATACTTTTTACTAAAATGAAATATCAACATTAATTCTACATAAAACGTAACAGTTCGCATGAATGCAATTTTAAATTAGTAACTTAAAAGTTGATTTGTGTTTTAAAAATAAAAAATAAAATAAAGAATATTATAATTCTTTTGTTCAAAAGTCAAATTTGGTTAGGTATGAAAGCACATAGATTTTGGTGTATTTAATTTTTGGATTGAATTTATGAGCAATCAATCTAGAAGGTCAACGCGGTTGTTGCATGACATCATGCCAATTTGAAACAGTCAAACGCAAATGGAGGTTTGAAGCAGAACACGTTCAACGGGTTTTGGTTTTGGTTTTAATAATGATGAGAAGAAGCTTCCAAAAGTTGGTTTTTTGTCGGATGACTTCTGGAACTTCATTTAATTATTCACTCCCAAATGCTGAGATTTTGACTCTTACTTTGTCCTTAAACATGAAAAAAATAGACCAATTTTGCAGGAAGATATGAACGTTGAAATTTACCTGAAAAATTTCGAATTGTAACGAGTTCAACCTTATACATGTCATGTTTATATTTTTTTTTTTCTTCCTAAAAAAAATTGATCAAAATTATTCCTTTTTTAAATGCACATGATTGACAATTTTAAAAATGCTCATTTCTCATGTTTATTCTTAACAAGATTTAAAATCATAAATAAAAGAATGATTAAAATTGGCACACTATTTATCATATTTAGAAACTTTTTTTTTGAAGTTATTTACACATCCAATTAAAAATAAAAAATAAAAAAAAAAGTCCCTTGAAATTTTGGATAAACAACAAGTTTTTTTTTTTTTTTTTTTTTTTTTTTTTTTTTTTTTTTTTTTT